TATCAGAGCATATACAATTCAATTTGTTTATCTTATATGCCAACTACGTTTCACATAACAAATACATAAAAGACTTTTATGATATGATATCTGAAAAGGAGAAGTTGATATGTCTTGCTCCTCTTCGCTCCATAATTTTCTCGAAACATACGTGTGAAACATTCACACGCTAAGTCTATGACGTAGTGAGACATAAATAAACTTACTATATCATGTCATTACTACATGCACACTTCATGTAATCATAATAAACTATAGAACACATTATGCATCAAAACATAAATACATACATATACATATACATATACATATCATTTCATTATCCTTATTATTATTCTTAGTATTATTATTAATTTCTTTTATCATATGACCCTTTACTTACTATATATACACATCATATAACATATATATCACTGTACAAAGAAACAAACATATCATCATACCAAGTTTATTTATATTATCTCATTATTAGCCCATGTATACATGTGAGAACTAAAGATATGTGAGTACATTGAGGTTGTACACATATGATGTCGCCACAGCTCATATAATTCCCACTAGGGACGCACAAGATTTGTCCCGAATGACCACTATATCCCAAAGGACATAGGTAACCCTCGACTCTTGGCATGCCAATTATACCTCTAGCTCTCATGACACATAACATGGGCATTTCATTTATGTTTATCTCATATTGACACATTCATATCACATATCTCTTATCACATGCCTTAACTCTTGTATCACATAGCTCGTGTCATTTCTTATGAAATCACTTATATCATGTAGCACATATAACTCATATACTTTCTTATATGTTCATATAGATCATATCATATGGCTCATATCTTTTCATATGGTTTATATATTTTTTCTCTTATCTTCACATAATTCATATACATGTAATACATATCAGGCATGTTCACACAAATCATGTGACATATGCAATAACCTACACTCATATCAAACATATGCTCATGTTCATAACTTCATGCATACTACTATAGGAAATAGACTCGCTGTAAGTCCTATTTTCATTAAACACCATATACTACTAGTATGCACTCACTTGGCCTCACTAGTCAATATTGATCTCTTACTTCTTCCTTGCTTGATCTTATCTCGTTGATTCATCTAATACTCACTTCTGATCAATATCTATACAATCAAACATTTGATATGCATATAAGAATTCTAACTGTTATAATTTGATCATTAATAACTCAAGCTAAGCGAAATACTTAATACAACTTCCACTTTGAGTAGTATCAGTACCCCCATGTAACATCTCAAACATGGGTTAGTGACCAAATTGTGAGTTTTTAAAATTTAGCGACTAAATTAGATAAATGAAAAAGTTTAAAGACTTAATTGAAATATTTTGTGTAGGATGAATATCAAAAAAATTTAGCAAGGAAATGAATTAAAAATTTTAGCCATGGGATTTTATAACACATGGAAAAGGGGTTTATGAGATTTTATATCAAGATATTTCTCTACTCTTCATCCTTCTCTCTTTTTTCTTCTCTGTGAGCTGCTAGCTAAGGTAAAAACTCCTTTAGTTGAATAATTCTTTTAAATTAGACATGCTTTAGATTCTTAAAAGGTTAGGAAAACTCAAGAAATGTTTAAAGTAGTTTAAAATCCAAAGAATAACAAGTTATGGAGGATTGAAGGTATATAGTTTTTAAGTGAAAATATGAATAAGAGGACTTAAATGAATTGAGAAGCTGAATTTGACTTGTCATAGGTTTGAATAAGAAGTAATAAGTGTTAGAATTAAATTTGGATTATATGGAAAACTTAGTAGAATTCTTAGTTTCAAGAATTGGAATAAGATGATGAAGTTTATAAGGTGTTAAGATGATAAAAGAAAGTTAAAATGATTGTAGTTAAGGTTGGTGGAATGAAAGGAGATTTAAAGGTGAAAATTAAGGAAAAGGTTGATGATTCTCGGGTAAAAGAAGTATGTTCTGGGAAAGGGATATCGGTACCAGATGAATAGGTACCGATACTACACAGCTAGGATATGCTAATATATTGTGTAGGTATCGGTACTGTATGAACAAATATCGATACCATAAGACCATTTTAGGCAATATCTTCATGAGGTAGCAATACCGAAAAGGGATAGTACATAGGTATCGATACCAGAAGGCAAGTATCGATACCTGGAAACATCAAATCGAATTTGGGTACCGATACCCAAGTATGGTATCAATATCATTATAAAGGAAGTATCAGTACTGTACATTGGGGTACCGATACTACTTAATTAGAAAATGAGAATTATGGTCGTTTAAGTTATTAAGATTGAGTTATATGTTTAGGCTTCTGATAATTGTCTTGGAAATTATATTTATGTAGATACCGAGCCTAAACGAGTTCCAAAACAAGTGATGAGTCAGGTTGAACGAGGGAAAGACAAAGAACTATAGGTGAGTACATATTTGTAGAATAATTATATTATGATATGGAAATTAGACTTGTGATAAGTCTAGTTCCAATACCATTAATATATGATTGCATTTCATACTATGATACATGCCATGAATTCATATTATATTCATTATGTGACAATGATCTAAGTGAATTTGCATGAAAAGTTTACATGAGCCATGTGAGAAAAGTAAGAATTTATATGTCTATGAGATATAAACTATGTGAATTTTGAAAAAACCCATGTTATGTAGATGAGAGCTATAAGTATAATTGGCATGCCAAGAGTCGAGGGTCTACGTGATCCTTCAAGACATATATGTATCCTTTGGAACATTTAAGGGGTCCTTTAGGACACATGATTGATCATTTAGAATATGTATATAGTTCTTGAGGAGATTTCTATGTGGCCCTTGTGGACATTTTATATGGCACTTCGGTGCATTTCTACGCGGCACTTCGGTGCAATTCTACGTGGCACTTCGGTGCATTTATACGAGCTGTGGTGACAGTATTGTGCACAACCTCAATGTACTCATATACCTTAGGTTCTCAGTATTGTATCATGGGCTAATGAGATTATCAATATGAATTCATGATTGCTAATTTGATAAGCTTATGTGTAAAATGCATGGTTATGTAAGTTGCAATGAATAAATATATGATTGCATGGTACTCCATCTCATTATAGTATTATTATTATATATTATTATTATGTCTCACTAAGTCGACGACTTAGCGTGTGAGTGTTTCACACGTAGGATCCGACAAGTTAGCTAAGCAAGGATAGACAGTGGAGATAGCATCACTTTTGCTGACATCATATAAGAAGAAACTTAAACAATAGGTTATTTTGTTATGTAAATCAATGTTGGCATGTAATCCAAAGTTTAAGTTGTATATGCTCTGATTATTTTGTGAACCTTGTATAAACTTATGTATAATATCAGATTTTTTTTAATATAAGTTCAAATGTTCTATTATTTTGTATAAGTATATTGTTTTAAAAAGTCAATGTGACATCTCGGACTCGTATCTGGGTCGGGTACATGATGGGGGTGTTACAACCCATTGCATGGTACCGATACTTCCCTAGCTATGGTATCGATAGTAAGCTTGGGTATCGATACCCTTTTTACATTCGAAATCCTTATTTCAAAAATGGGTACCGATACTGACCTTATGGTATCGATACTCTTTGTATCGATACCACCTTCCCAGGTATCGATACCCCATGAACAATTTATAAATTTTTGTCTTATGGTATCGATACTTATGCAACCAGTATCGATACCCATACCTTAATAATCACTTGTTTTCTCTTTGAAGTATCGGTACTGAATGAACAGTACTGATACCCCTAGCCCAGAATACACTTCTTTAACCCGAAAATCTTATCAAGCTCACTTAATTCTTTTTTCATAACCTCCTTTTAACCCTTGAGACTTAACTATACTTATTCAAATCTTTTTATATCCATATAACACATTATCATCTTCAATGACTAATCATAATTATTGAAACTAAAAATCTTACCAAATTTCCAACATGTTCTTAATTCACTTCTATCACTTTTAACTTCTTAATTAGACTCTTAACAAGTCAAATTCAACTTCAAAATCCATTTATTCATTCTATTTCAATAATTCACTCAAAAATTCATTTTACTAAATCTCTTATAACTTGTTCATCCTTGAGTTTTAAGCCACTTTAAATCTTCCCTTAAGATTTCTTATCACTCAAGAATCAAAACCGGCTTAAACATGAAAGAAAACCTTAACTTGAGACTAACTTACCTTGAAATGAAGTTTACGGGAAGAGGAAGAAGGAGAAGTTCCATGCATTTCTTTCTTTCTTTTTTTTTCACCCAAACTCCACGTGGTTAAATCCCTTTTAAAATGGGAAATAAAAATCTTTCCTATAAAATGATCATTTTACTCTTTCCACTTTCAAACTTTGCTATTAACTCCAATACCAAAATTCTCCAATCAAGTCCCCAAACTGTTAATCATTTCTGAGATTGGTCACTAAGTTTTAAAAACTTCTATTTTGGTCACTAACCCAACTTTTCGGATATTACATAGAACGCACTCCAAACAACCTTGACATTACATTCCAGATTGTACGGAACGATATAAGCCCCGTAAGATGTGGCAAAACCTCTATGCTAATTGTTGTTAACAACCACGAAGCAAGCAATTTGTCTTGCTGTTTGTGTACAGTAAACAATGGATTCTCCTCAAGCTGGCCTGCCTCATTCGTAATAAACTGAGATAGAACAGGACTGTCACCCAAGATATAACCCAACAAACCATAACCATCAATTATAAGAGTCACCTGATGCTTCCAAAGAAGATAGGTTAACTCAGTAAGCTTTATAACATCCTGCTTCGGTATGTGTTGCACACTAGACAAAACTGAAGAAGCACACAACGAATTTACCATGGTATTCACCGGAGACGCAACATCTGTCTGATGTAGATCCACCATTTTGCGAAGAAAACCAACAAGATTCCTCAAGAAACAACCAAGCAATAACTCCTTCAAGACCAAGAATAATGAACCAGAGAGTCTCTCAGAACAAGAAAACAACCATACAATGCTTCACCATATACAAGCAAGAAAGAACGAAAACGAAGCAACAACCGATCGATTTTGGCGACTTATATCATGTAAAGTTATACAACAAACTACTCAAAATTATAAACCAGAAGAAACGAAATAGGAAAAATTTTGAACATTGTTTATTTTCCAAGTTTTGAATTACACAAGACTCAAAAGGAATATTTATAGCTTGAATTACAGCTGTAAACACCTCAACTGAATCAGCTGTAATTAACTCGACATAATGGAAATCATGTACCATGCACACACACTTACACAACAACATTCACTAATCCTTAACAAAAAAGCTCTCCTTTAAACCCTAAGAAATGAAGTTAAATCCCTCTTATCGACCCCTCAAAATCCACACTTTGTTCTCAAAACGGAGATTTTGTTCTGCACCCAAAGTTTCCGTTCAAGATAATGATGAAACAGCCAAAGACGCCCAAATGATTTCCAATCTCAAACTCATTGTACGTGAAAGACAAAGCTGGAAGATCGCATTAAACGACACCGATTTCCTGAAGACTCGCCACGTCGAGGAAGTCTTGATCCAAACCTTGGACGACCCGAGGTTTGCTTTAAGGTTCTTTAACTTCCTGGGACTCCACAGAAACTTCCACCACTCACCCGAGTCGTTTTGCGTCTTAATTCACGCTTTACTTAAAGTTAATCTCTTCTGGCCCGCGTCATCTCTTTTGCAAACTCTTTTGCTTCGCGGGTTGGGTCCGAGTGAGGTTTTTGAGGCTCTTTCGAAGGCTCATGAGAAATGTAAGTTTCCTTCGGGTTTGGGTTTTGATTTGTTGATCCAAAATTATGTGCAGAATAAGAGAGCTCTTGTTGCTTTAATGATATTTAGATTAATGAGGAAGTTTAATAGTTATTTGCTACCTCATAGGACTTTAAGTGCTCTTCTGAACGAATTAGCAAAAATTAGGCAGTTTGGCGTTGTTTTGGAAGTGTTTGATGAGATTGTGAAAGCTGGTGTTAGGCCTGATATTTTCATATACACAGTGGTGATTCGCAGTTTTTGTGAATTGAAGGATTTTGTTAGAGCTAAGGAAATGATTCATCTAATGGAGTCGAATGGTACCGAGTTGAATGTGGTCGTGTACAATGTGCTTATTCATTGGCTCTGTAAGAATCTTAGGGTTTGGGAGGCAGTTGAGATTAAGAATGGATTGGTTAAAAGGGGTTTGAAAGCAGATGTTATCACGTATAATACATTAGTCCTTGGCTTATGCAGAGTGGATCACTTCGATGTTGCGGTAGAGTTGATGAACGAGATGCTAAAGTCGGGTTTTGTTCCAAGTGAAGCTGTGGTTACGAACCTTGTTGATGGGTTGAGGAGAAAGGGGAAGTTTGAGGATGCTCTTAGTTTGGTAAAAAAAAGTAGGGGAAGTTGGGTTAGCACCTAATTTGTTTGTTTACAATGCATTGATCAATTCATTGTGCAAAAACGGGAAATTTAATGAAGCACAGTTGATTTTCAATGAAATGGGAAGAAGGGGTTTGCATCCAAATGATGTTACTTTTTCTATTTTGATTGATTCATTTTGTAGAAGAGGTGAAATGGATGTTGCACTTAGCTTTCTTGGTAAAATGAGAGGGTTGGGAATAAAAGCAACAATCTATCCCTACAATTCTTTGATCAGTGGGTACTGCAAGTTGGGAAATTTGAATTTGGCCGAGTCTTTTCTGTATGAGATGATTAACGAAGGGTTGCTGCCAACTGTGGTAACGTACACATCATTGATAAGTGGATATTGCAATGAAGGAAAGTTGCATAAGGCGTTTAGGCTATATCATGAGATGACGGAGAAGGCAATTGCTCCAAACACGTATACATTTACTGCTCTTATATCTGGCCTTCGTCGGGAAAATATGATGGCTTAGGCAGTTAGATTGTTTGGTCAAATGGTAGAGAGAAACATTATGCCAAATGAGGTGACATATAATGTTCTGATCGAGGGATACTGCAGGGATGGTAACATGGTAAAAGCTTTTGAATTGTTCAGCGAAATGGTAGGAAAAGGTCTTGTGCCTGATACATATACTTATAGACCTTTAATAAGTGGTCTTTGTTCTGTTGGTGTAGTGTCCGAAGCCAAAGAGTTCATGGATGGTCTTCACAGGGATCAACATAAGTTGAATGAGATGTGTTATAGTGCACTGCTACATGGTTATTGCAAGGAAGGGAAAATAGAGGATGCATTGAGCGCTTGTCGTGACATGGTTGAACGAGGCATTGATATGGATCTTGTGTGCTACGGCATACTTATTGATGGAACTCTAAAACAGCACGACACGAGAAGGTTACTTAGTCTTCTAAAGGAGATGAATGATCAAGGATTGAGCCCTGACAATGTGATGTACACGAGCATGATTGATGCAAATAGGAAAACCGGAAATCTTATGGAGGCTTTTGAGCTTTGGGATATTATGATTGGTGAAGGATGCACCCCTAATGTTGTGACATATACTGCTATGATAAATGGCTTGTGTAAGGCAGGTTTCATCGATAAAGCTGAGCTTCTTTGTAAAGAAATGCTGGGGAGTAATTTGCTTACGAACCAGATAACATATGGATGTTTCATCAATCGTCTCACCAAGGAAGGGAATATGGAGAAAGCTGTAGAGCTTCACAACACAATCGTTACAGGGGTTTTAGCTAACACAGTCACTTAAAACATACTTATCCATGGCTTTTGCAAGTTAGGAAGACTTGAGGAGGCCATGGAGCTTTTAGATGGAATGGCTGGCAACGGTTTTTACCAGATTGTATTACTTATTCAACTATAATTTATGAGCACTGTAGAAGAGGTAGTTTACACGAAGCTATTCGGATGTGGGACTCTATGCTAAATAAGGGTATAATGCCAGATACACTGGCATATAATTTTCTGATATATGGTTGCTGCGTTGCTGGAGAATTGAATAAGGCTTTTGAATTGCGTGACATGTTCAGCAGAGGTGTTAAGCCAAATAAGGCTACAAATTATTCTCTTGTCCGTGGAACTCGTTTGAAGTATTCGTATTCGAACATTGACGAGTAGACTGCAAGAAAAAGATTTTCCACTACACGAAACTTTACAGGGACCTGTTGTGATGGAGTTGGCCCCAATGAAAAGCATGATTTAAACTTAATTTATCCTCTTCAGGAAAAGAACCAATTTCATTCGCTGCTGAGCAGAAGTTGGTTGCGTTCAGGTGAAGATTCGATCTGATATAGATCGAAAAGATAAGTACACTGATTTCTTTTTTGTATAGTGTACCTTCTGAACTGAGAAGATTGTGGGGCTTTGGGTGGTGGATGGCAAAGAGTTCACCTGAAGCCTCACCATTGATTTAATGATGATGAAAATCTTGCCATTCTTTAGCTCATATTGTAAGAAGTAATAAACACGACAAAAAGAGCCTCGGATACCTTTTTGTTAATAATTCAGTAATTTGGGGCATTTAATGTGAAAATGAATTGCCACTTAAGGTGCGAGTATGTTACTCGTAGTATGCAATTGGCAATAAGCTTTCATCAAGGCAACGTGCTCTAGCTGAAAATTCATGCCAATATTTTAACTGGAATAGGTAGCATAACTATTTGAATCATTTAATAACATTATAAAAATAAAAGGATAAACCTACATTAAATTAAAATATAAAAAAACTCAAATATAAATATAGAGGGACTTAAATTGTAATTTGACCAAGATTTGTACAAGTAACCAAACATCCGCTCTTCCTAGTTGCAATGAAAAAAAAGACCCTCAAAACTGTAAGACATTCTATCTGATAAGCTCACGCATGCATAACAAAGTCATAAGATTTAAATGGAAATTGCTAAAATTGTTCTGGACAGACTTAAAAGTAATATTTGAACAACAAACCAAAATCATACACCCCGCCACCTATTAACATTTCATTATCTCCATTATTCGTGCTTCTTGGAGACTCCCATTTAATTGGCGCGGCTTCTAATAACATCGAGTTCCATCTCGGCTGGGTCAGTTGCCTGCAGCTCTACTTGAATACCGTCCAACTCTCTCTTGAACCTGTCCTTCGAGCTTGCATAAATCATCTTGCTTCTCACGCTTGATGTGTCTGGAGACCTTGAAATATACAACAAAAAAAATAAACGTCAGTGATTAGAATGTATATAGCTTGAGAATAATAAAAAAATACCAACAGTTTTATGCATGTAATATATACCATGCAATGAAGGAAATCCTGCTTTTCTGGCAATTCTCAGCTGTCAGAAAATCGAAATCATATACAGCATATCGACATGCATCAGCAGGAAGGCTTGCGGTGAAATCCTCGTAGCTTTGAGTTGGCTCGCCAAGCTTTTCCACGATAACTTGCTTTTGTTTCTCCTCGATCTTGAATACTATGAAACCATAAGTTCTTTTAGCTTTCAACTCCAGAAATTTCAACTTGCAGTCATCATGGACAGCCATTCCAGAAGCTGCATCAGCCTGTAAAGGAATGGTTCATAGAATACATAATCTTTCATACAACAATGAGCCCTTCAAATCATATATGACCAATTAATCCATCAGCTTTTCTTTTTCTAACCATTCCTAAGAAATGAAATACTAAACAGGCTGATTGAAAACAACACACGCTCTCAAGCTCCCCCCCCCCCATTCAACAAAGAACAGAATGGCAGGTCAATGAATCAAAACAACCAGGTCAACCCCATTGATCCAATCCCACATTTCCCTCAGGGTTTTGACTTTTGATAATGAACCATAAATTTGAAACTACACAAAATTCTTAAACACTTAACAGGCTTAAATGCAATATTCCGATCTTTGATTAGCTGGGACCAACCACTCTGAAAGATAAACCTAATTGCTTTCTTTGTGATAAAGTTAAGCAGCAACAACAACAACAATAAAGGTAGCTGAGAAGGCATGTCAAGGTCAGAAAAGAAAGGAAGTCGCTTAAGCACTGATGCACATACGCTTGTTGGGATAAAAAATGAATTAGAGAATATAACTAAATTCAGAAAACATCATCCATAAGCTACGGACACTAGAGAATTGATCAAGAAGAATCCTGTTCCCAAACAAAAGCCCAATAAAAATTAACAGATTAATAAAATTACGTGCAATACGATCTATAGTTCATTGTGACTCATAATGTTTATTAATATGTCAGTCCAAAAACACGAATTTTCAGAGGAATCAAAACGGAAGATCAACGAATATTAAGTTCAGCAATCTTTTTATCCATAAAAAAAATTCAGAAAATTTCATTCAAAGTGTAACAATCCAAGTCGCCAGTACAGCATCAAGCGGGAGATCAAACAATAATCGAAGGAAATAAAAATTATTATAATATAATTATTAAAAAGTTTCATTACATTAATTTAATATATAAATTATGCAAATATAAAAAAATAAAATGGATAAGACCTTCAAAATTTTGGGAAAAACAAAACTAGTGTAGTCTCAATATGGCACTTAAACTAAGAAAAAATCAATTTAATTCTTTGGCTAACAGGACTGTTACGATACTTACATGAAAGTTCATAAATTTTACAAGACAATCTACAATATTAATGTAATATTTCACGACGTTGTTGTGATAATATATGATGGACGATGATATGATAAATGTGTTTAATTGATTTTTTAGCTGAGTTCAAGGTCCGATTAATTTTTCTAGAAATTTCAAGGTTTCTTTCTCACTAAATATACCTTGTTTACGTTTTTCATTGAAAAATGGTAGATCTAATAAATGCGTGCATGTATTGACTCGTTAGAGTTCAAACTTTCTAAAATTACCGCAACAGTGGCCGTTTCCATTTTCTCTTAAAACGTGAAGGTTCACCATAGATAAAGCTACTTCATCATTCATCTTTGTACAAAAGGTAAAAAAAAGATACACAACTCAAGAGAGATGACAAATTCTATTAATCTTCGACGATTTCTTTTGAAGGAAAGAGTATTGAAATGTTTTCGAGTGATAAAAGATTCGACATTCATCGACGGCACCATAACTACTTCAGCTTCATCTGTACCCCGAAACCCCAATAGGGTTTTGGGTGACTCAACATGTTTGAGCTGTAAAAGTGATGAAGCAAAACACGGTTTATTTCCAAATAGTTGTCATCCTAGATCGGAACTTGAAAGGAAAAAGCTAGACAACAAATCAACTCAACTGGATGTCATGTTCCTTGAAACCTGAAATTACGCCTTGCTTAGTTTTGAATCTGGTTTTGTTGTTGGAAACAGATTTAGTGAGAAATAAACCTTTGGGAGCGGCGACAGAGACTCTGACATGAGATGGCTTCACAGAGACAACGAAGAACACAATGACAATAGAGAAACAAAAGCACGACTGAGTTTGTTCAAAGGGAAAAGAGGGGTGTTGGGTTGGGGAAAGGGAATGTACTGCTACGACGGAGGTGGGGTGTAGGTGGGAAAAAGGCTATATTTATCATATTATTTATTTTTGTTTTTTTTATTAAATTGTACTTATTCAGATAATAAAAATTAAAATTAAGGGGGTGATGAGACGTGTCTTAATTGGTCGTTAATTTTTTATTTTAACGGAGTTAACGATTTAGAGTAAATGAGATAACGATTTAAAGTTTAAAAAATAAAATATTTGAAAAAATACTTTAGAGGACAATTTAATACAAATAGTATAATTTAGGAGACAATAATATATTTAAGTCTTTAATTTACTTATAACATAAAAATTTGAATAATATAATTTGTTTCTGATATATTAATATTCCATGTCGAATTAGCATTGAAATACAAATTAATGTAAGCATCTAAATATTTATGATACGTTTGGTTGGAGTGTTCACACTTCTCATTGGTGTTATTGAAAACAACACGGATCGTCTCTAAAGGATCTTCAACCGTCGATAAGTGCACAATCTAACGGGTCTCAGTCCCCTCTCGTTGCACCCCGCCAAAACTACCGCTACAAAACGTGCCAATCTCGCTTTATTTTCTGCACCGCGATTTGTCAAAGCTGAGAATTTTATACTTCTTGAAGCGTTAAAGTCATTTTTTTCAAGTCTGTCTCTAGCAATGGATGCCGGAGTTAAGGTACAGAAAGGTGCTGGTGGAAGAAAAGGCGGCGGCCCAAAGAAGAAGCCAATTTCAAGGTCCGTCAAAGCTGGCCTCCAATTCCCCGTCGGAAGGATCGGCCGCTACTTAAAGAAAGGAAGGTATTCGCAGCGTGTTGGAACCGGAGCTCCGGTTTATCTCGCCGCTGTTCTCGAGTACTTAGCAGCCGAGGTAACTGAAAGCTAGAGCAAGTCATCGCATAAGTTAATTGTTGTTATTTGTAGTTCGTAATTCGGTTTTGAATTGGGAATCCAGGTTCTAGAATTGGCCGGAAACGCAGCACGTGACAACAAGAAGAACAGGATCATCCCAAGACACCTTCTACTCACCGTGAGGAACGACGAGGAACTGGGAAAGCTTCTCGTCGGCGTTACTATTGCTCACGGTGGCGTTTTACCGAACATTAACCCTGTTCTTCTCCCAAAGAAGACTGAAAAGGCCTCTTCTAAAGAATCGAAATCTCCATCAAAGGCAACTAAATCTCCCAAGAAAGCTTGAATTTATCAATTAACTTCTAATGTTACGGTTCATCTCATTTGCAAGATTTATATGATTTCTTTGACCGTAGGATTTTGCTTGTAGTTGTTGAGGTGGGGGAAAAGATTAATATATTTTATCTAGCGGAAATGAAACCACGGATTTTAAAAATTAAGCTAAAATTTGTCGTTGGGTTGAAGATGCCTCAAATGCAGGTTCGGACCACTAAGCCGTTAGGGGCAAAGGGTATCTCCTTAGATAAAAGTATGGAATTTAATTTAATATATTAACAAAAATAAAAAAATAAATCTTTTATATATTCATTACTTTTTTTAAAAATATTAAAATTTTAGATTTCATTCTTAAATTTTTTTTATCCTTTAGTCCATTGACCTATCTCACGGCTTGTAATATTCCGAGCTTTAATAGCTCTACTTGTTCCCGTTAATTCAAAGGTTGAATTCTGCTTAGTTACTGTAGACTATGGCACTATCTCTGGCACCTACGTTTTCCATACAAATTAAAATGAATTAGCTTTAAATATTAGATTGGGATTGGCATTTTAGTGGTCATTTACATGCTGGCAGATATTCTGAAAGGATTAAGGGTCAGTTCTCTATTATTCATTAAATTCGTTTTTGAAACCAAAAGCATTTTTTATACTGAAGCACTAAAATTTATATGAGAATTAGAAATTTATAGAGACAATTCTGCATATTGATGAAAATTTCTAGCTTTTTTTTTTCGTTTGCCAATGAAATCAATCCTCGCAAAAAGAGGCTGGAAAATTTCTAGCACTATTGCATTGAAGCCAACTTGTTATGGAGCAATGGAAGGGGCCTGATGTTGGCTTGTATGTCTTAATATGGATACATCAGTGTCTCAAGCAATCTCGATCGACACTATTGGTAGGGTTTTCTGGAATTCACATGGCTCTTGATTATAAGTAAGAGGTCCAAAATCAAAATTTGACTAAAATGAAATTAACTGATGATATTATATAGGAGAGGGATCAAATTATGCCAATTAAAGAAGGATTAGCATGAACTAACTTATCACAGTGATTAAAAGAGTCGTTGTTCTTAGAGGTTATAGGAGAGGGATCGAATTATGCCAATTAAAGGAAAAGGATTAGCGCGAACTAACTTATCACAGTGATTAAAAGAGTCGTTGTTGTTCTTAGAGGTTATAGGTTCAAGCACTAACGATTGCAGTAGGATGATTGGACGCTAATTGTAAAATGGTTGGGAATATTTAGAACCGATAATATTAGTAATCACCTTAGCTTAATAGAAAAAATAAAGGAGAAGGGTTAAATCATTAAATTCAGGTATAGTAAAAGGGCATAAAAGTAGTTTGACCAAAACGAAGAAAATATTTAAAGTGGAATTTGAACCCACTCCCTTCGAAACAAAAGCTTAATCTGGAGCCTTAAACCAACTCGGCCACATCAACATTATTTAATATTTTTTCATTTTTATTTTTTTATAATGAACAATATTGTAAATTCTAGCTCTATGAAACATTGAAACGTAAAAGAAACGCTTGTGCTTTGGTGAAAAAATTTTCTAGACCAGTGATGGAATGGTGATACATGTAGTTTATTCTTTTATGGGTAAACTATGTAAATAGTTTCATATGTTTTTAGTCTGACCGACTTTGATCACCAATTTCTTAATTAAGTATTCTTGGTATCTTACGTTATCAGTCCGTTCAGTTTAAGTTCTTCGACTATTAACTTCGGTTAACCCATTAACATAAATCTGAGTTGACAATTAAATAAAAAAAACCCAGGTTGCCTCCTCCTTCTTAAACCTACAACTCTTGAAAAGAAAAATAAAACAAAACAACACCGTCTAGTTTCTCTAATCGGGTGGACCAATAGTATACCAATCGCCACCTCAACTTCCTACTTCTCTGTTCTTCACGTTCCATTCTCCTCACTCTTTTTTCGCCGTTCTTCAGGTCCCATGCGATGCTAGCTTTTGTCCATTCAAACTCAAATGCTCTTTACGCCATTGTTAAAGACCTTAGCATCAATAGACAACCTCATTCATATCTAACTTCACCATTTCCAGCGCTGCGTCTTCTCCAGCATGTTCACTCAAAGGTACCTCCCTTGCTCATCTTCCATGAAGAATTTGCGTTTTTAATCCGAAACTTTGATATCGTTTTAACAAGTGGGATCGACCCTTCAACATATTCATTCATCATAACTCTTAAAGTAACTTCTAAATCACTGTTGTACCAGGGACGCACATAGAATTTTATGTTGGGGACGAACTTAAAGTTATAAAATTTTAGGGAACGAACATAGATTTTAAAATATATATATATATAAAAAATCTAAAATATATGATAATTTTAAATTTTTGGAGATTACTGTGCCCGCCCATCCCTGATTGTACCAATTAAAAAAATATTTGCAATTAAAAAATATTTGTGCAGCTTACAGGCGCGGTCATTGTATAATAATTTGGAATGTTCACGGAAGGGGTTTGCTTTAAACTCCAAGTGGAATGAAGCTGAGAAATAAATTTGCAACTCTCTCTTGGGAGAGTTTCCGATGAAATGTTTTTCGGCAAATATGCTGAATGGAGAGTTTCAAGGATAGTTCAGGAAGACATTGCTCGCTTTAGTAAATATGTGAGTAAACTGATTAGATTATGAGAAAAAAGAGTTGTTTTGCTGAAATATATTAGTGAAGAAGAAGAAGGCAACATGTTTTTAAAAAAAAAAAAAATTAATTCTTTAATTGCCAACTCGACTTCTATTAATGGATTAACGGAATTTAACGGCCGACGGACTTAAACTGAACGACCTAATAACGTAAAGGACAAACACATTTAATTAAAAAAATCGATGATCAAAAATAAAGGGAACTATTGGGATAGTTTACCCTTCTTTTATTTATTACTCGTTTATTTATAAGACAAAAAATCTTTATTTTGTTTGGATTGACTTTCATCATGATCCTCATGCAGGTATTTGCATATATGTAGGCTTTATATTTCTTCTTTTTCTTATTTTTATTAATCTTAGGTAAGTATAAGATAATATCTGTTTAAAAATAACTCTCAATAATTTTACATTGAACGCTTACATCATTGGTATTCTTGGAATGTTCGAACTTGATATCTCAATAAATAACAATAATTCTTTAACCACTGAGGTCGCTTGATTCCTACTAGGGCTTCTATTCCTACTTGCCGGGAATGGTGGCTTTAGGAAGGCATTTAATAAACTTACCATAAAAGATATTGATCGTCTTTGGCTAGAACGATGTGAAATTTTTTCTCATACTGGAAAAGAGATCGTTGTTTTTTTCTCTCCATAGAAGCTCGGATGACAGTAATATGCTTAATATCGCCATTGCTTGCTCTATATGCAGTGCCATTAAGTTGATTTGAGCCATTACACAAACTGTTGTTTGCACTCAAGTTAGTGGTAAGGAAAGCGTGCCCTCGATCATCAGTCGAATGCATCTTTTGTTCCAACTCGTGAAAAGGTTGGTTGAATGGTTTGCATTGAAGACAATCATGCAACTACCTGGATATGTTCATTTCAGAACAGGATGATAAAATGAATTAGGCAAGTCGTCATTTTAGTTGCCTTCACTTTTTTATTGTTGTTTGTATTAGCTTATAGTCGTCTTACTTTCTGCAAAAGAAAAAAAAACTCCAACCAAAGAACCCGAATCAAAGAATAAGCAGCATGAACATATGTTCATTGTGTTGTGATTTAATGGAAGAATATTCCATGGCAATATCCTTGAAGCCACTGAATATTTCAGCTACGACTATTGCATTGGTTCAGCAGGATATGGAATCATTTATAAAGGCGCATTACTAACTGGTCAAGTGGTTGCTATGAAGAAACTTTATCAATATGAAGAAAACATGCTTATCTATAACATGAAAGCCTTTGAAAGCAAGGTTGTTTCTTTATCAGAAATAAGCATCATAACATCGTGCAGATTAATGGCTTTTGTTCACATCCAATACATTGTTTTATTGTTTATGAGTTTGCAGAAATGCTCTTAAGCAACCGTTAAGCTTCAATGATAAAAGCAACCGCATGTTTTCCAATATATATATATATATATATATATATATATATATATATATATATATATGACTTTGTCGACTATTTGAATAAACTAATGACATTATAAAAGTAGGTGAATTAATTATGCCAAATAAAACCAGAACGATCAAACTTAGCTTGTGGTTACTAAATTTTAGATTTGTTAGTAAGGGGTTTTGTTAATTTCTTGAAATAACCAAGGACATTGTAAAAGTAAAGGAGTCAATTTTCCAACTTCAAGCAGAAAGATTAAACCTTACTTTTGTGTATAGTAAACAATTATTTGACCAAAATTGAGAAACAAAACTTATTGTTGAGAGTGGGATTTGAACCCACGCCCTTTCGGACCAGAACCTTAATCTGGCGCCTTAGACCAACTCGGCCATCTCAACTTTGTTATTAAAGGTCTCTCATTTACAAATTAAATAACTATTTTAAAGAACGAATCAATCTAAAGCAGCATGAACAAAAAATTATTTGAACAAAAGCCACGTACACTAGTACAAAGATTCTCCCCAATTCAATGATCAATATAGTTTCAAAATTTAGAAATCAAGGATTATTAATCAATAACGAAAATGATATTTTAAGATCAAAAGCTCGTATGGAAATTTTATCAAAATTAAAAATCATGATTGAGATGATCTAAGACTAATCTAAAATGCATAAACAACTCTTTAGATGATAGAATAGTTATAGGTTACCTCAATCTTAAGAGAAGAACGAAAATAAAGGTCTATGAGTGAAATTCTAAGTAGAAAATAAACTGAAAATGAAGAGAAAAGTTATAGGGAAATTTAAAGGTTTTTTAGACATCTTAAAATGAGTAGTAATTGAAAAATAAGGAACTTATTTATTAGTTTCAATAAAAGATTATATAAATTCCTTTTAGCAATTTAAAGCAATTAATATTAATAATAAAATATAGCATAAAAGATGAAAGAAATAACTAAATTTTAATAAAATGGTAAAATCGGCATTGAGATCTTACAAGTTTTGATCCTCATTCAATTTAGTGTATTTTAGGTTAATAAATTTACGTGCATTTTCGGACAACATACCAACCTATCTAGAATGTGATAGCTTTGAGGTCCGAACCGGAATTTACGTTCATCAAAACTTATAGCCCTTAGTCTACCTCGAATACTTGAGAGGTCGGAGTAAGGACCGAAATTTATGTGCATCAGAAGCTCACATTCTGAACCTAGTCGAGTATAAGGTACGATTCCAAATTTTACGTGCATCGAAATTTGTACTAGTATGACTCAAAATTTACGTGCATCGGATGCGTACCACAGACAATGTCTGGATATTCACAAACAAAGAACGCTCGTCATAATGCTAGAGTAACTCGGGTGTCTTAGTTATTTCCCGAGCATCGTATAAAGGCCAAACTTATATCATCCTAGCTTGCTTGATTTCTAGGTGAGAAATTAGTTATCTTGATTGTTTTCATTTGTATCAAATACTTGAAGCTTAAGCGAACTCGAAGCACCCTAGCCCAAACACCCAAAACCGATTGAACCAAAATTGCCCAAAAATCATTGTGGGTATCGTTACTATGCCAATAATATCGATATTGACCCGTCCTTGGGTATCGATACTCACCTGAGTATGTGATACCAAAATTGACACATTATCGATACTCCCACGAGTATCGGTACCAAAATTGGCTACTGGAATATGAAACTTGCCATCAATATCGATATTGTCTTTATAAAATGTCTTGTTTTTGCTTTTCACAAAAAACAGTATCGATACTATTATTTCAGTACCGATGTCGACGGACATGAGTGCTCTGTTTTGAGCACGAAATCATACCCAAAACTCACCCATTCATTCCCCTAAGAGTAGAAAATGTTTTTAAAGTTTTATTTGGTGTCTTAGAGGTCAAAAGGTATACACTTTCATGCTTGCAAACAACAAATATGGATTTCACCATGAATTTACTCTAGTATGCTTTCATTAATAAAACATACCATAATGCACATACAATGACCTACATGCGGTATAGTCAAGTTAGAATCGTGTTACCTTGAAGCTATGTGACTAAAAAACGTCTTTAAATCACCCAAGGACTAGCTTTTCCTTGCCTAGCCTTTAAGCTCTCCCCTTGCTCTTGCACTAATCAAAGCCATGAAAATGAGTTCTTAACTCATTTTAAAACTTAAGAGAGCACTAAAAATAATTCCTACAACTCAAAACTTCCCCAAAACATATTAGAACCTCAAGATTTCTTAAACCCCACACCCAAACCTTGCAAATAAGAGCTCAATTTGAAGCTTATGAGGTGTGGCTTATGAATCTTGACTTAGAATTCTGATTCAAGCTTGCAAAACTAAAAATCTTGGACCTTTAACTTGCCTTGGAGATGAAGAAGATACAAAGTTGGGGTGAAAAAGAAATGGGTGTTTCAGACGTGAAGTCATTAGTCTTAATGAATAATCAGCTTTGATTCAAATAAATGGGTTAATTGCCCACCTAGTCCCTACTTATTTGGCACACATTCAAAAACACCCTTTTTAATACTCGTTGGGCTCATCTCAAGCCCAAATCAAATGCTACTTGGGTAAAACTCTTTATGGGCTAAGAGGATTTATTCTAAGGTACAAATCAAATATACACGAAACTCCTAACCCGAAATTTAGAGCGTTACATTAAATCTTTAGTTAGTCCCCATTCACTTCTTTCTCGTATCCTTCATATTCCTCCCAACTGGGTTCTTTATTTTCTTTGTAAAGCTTCCATTTTTTTAACGATGACGTTGGAATGAACTAAGAAAGTTTGAGTTTTTGTTGTTGTTGATGTAAGGGCAAAGAAGAATGGATTAACGATGTCATCATCTCGTTAATGGATTAACTATGGTGTGACATAATTGCGGTTAAACATAAACGTCAGTGTTAAAATTGGAAAAATTGAAACGTTAGTGCCATAAATGTGCCCGAGCTTAAAGGTGAGTGGTATTTGAAGTAGTTTATCCAAACTATTTGATAAAAGTAAAAATAAAAATATTAAAAATAGCGGCTTAAACTAAAAAAAGTACTCAAACTATGCCCTTTTTTGCGTTAAGTACCTAAACTATTTTTTAGTTAAACTAAGTCTTTAAACTATTATATGTAACCACTTTAAGTCTCTAAACTATTTTTTTTGATCAAAATAAGTCCATGAAAATATTACTCTTTTTTGCTTTAAGCCTGTAAACTATTATTTTAATCAAAATAAGTACCTAATTTTATAAAACGTGTTAACATCTTATTGATCGAAAAATATTTTTTAACTGAAAAAATGATAGAACTTAAAATTTTTAAATATAATAGTTTAAGGGCTTAGTTTGACCAAAAACTAATTTTGGTACTTAAAGTAAGAATAATACATGATTTAAGAACTTGTTTTTACATTAAACCAAAACTAAAATATTCTATAAAATAATAAATGACAAAATGATCATTTATACACACATTAGAGGTTGATTTGTTTTTAGGCTTAATACCAAAATAAGTTCCCAAACTATACCGCTTTTCACGAATTGGTGTCTAAAGTGTTTTTTGGCTCATCCCGATGACTAATGTTACAAATGTTACCACATTAGGTGCTCAGACTGTTAACGATGTTAATTTCCCCGTTAAGTGTCACGTGTCACAATTTGATAATTTTTAAAATTTTATTTAAAAATTAAAATTATACATTAAAAAACATAAACATTTTGAAATAAACCAAAAATTTGAAAACCATCATCTAAACCCCTAAACCTACATCGACTATCGCCTTTTACCGTCGACGAAGCTCTATCCGACCTCACCTCCATCGAGTACCAAAACTCATATAAAATCGTGATTGATTGATGACGAATAGACGTTTTATACCCTGGAAACCCTAGGATGAAAATCGTGATACCAAGCGATTCTGACAGACAGTCGGTGGCGTATGACTAGGGGATGGTAGGGAATATATCGATGGCAATGGTCGTGACCGAAAATGGCGGGGTGAGGTTAAGATTAGGATTTGGAGATTTTAAGATTTTGAGGCTTTTTTTTATAATTTAAGAGAAATTATTTTTTTATTTGCTTAATAAAAAAACAAGTGTCTAAATAATACCTCAAAATATGTTTCAGTGCTTAAAGATTTTTTCGTTAAAAATAGATGCCTAAAGTTTTTTCCGTTACACTTTTAGGTGCATACCGTTAAAAAAACCGTTAAGTGAAACGTGCCACGTCTAGATTTTTTTAAAAAAACATTTTAGTGCCTAAAGAAACTTTTTGTTAAAAATAAGTGCTTAAAATTTTATTCGTTATATTTTTAGGTGTCTTCCATTAAAAAAACTGTTAAGTGGCACGTGTCATATCTAATTTTTTTTAAAAATATTATTTACAAATATATATATTTTTTAAAAATCTGAACGTAACACGTGTCACTTAACAATTTTTTAACAGTAGACACTTAAAAGTGTAACGGAAAAAAACTTTAGACATATATTTTTTGCAAAAAATTCTTTAGATACCAAAAGTTAATCTTGAGTATAGTTTAGGCACTTATTTTTATATTAAGTCATTTTTATATAAATATAATAATATTTTTAATATTAAAAAATAAATTTCAAAATCACCATATTATGACATATGTCAATTAACGAAAGAAATTAACACTATTGACTATCTGGACACCTAAATAATAACGTTTGTTACGTTAAACACTAAAGGAGTAAAAAAATAATCTAAACACATTTATAAAATGTAGTATAGTTTTGACACTGATTTTAATATTAGTCCTTGTTTTTATGACATTTAAATGTGTTTTAATGATTTATAATTTTTCCCAAAAAAAAAAACTTTATTTACGAACATTGCCTTCTAATTCCCAAACTCGCTTTTCATTGGTCTATTCAAAACTACACGGATCGCTATTAAAAGATATTGAACCGTCGATAAGTGCTCAATCTGACGGGTATCATTCCCCTCTCGTTTTCCCCCACCTAAACTATTGCTACAAAAGGTGCCAACCTCGCGTTAATTTCTGCATCACGATTCGTTTCAAAGCTGAAAACTTTTACTTGTTGAAACGTTATTCATTTGTTCACAAGCAATGGATGGCGGAGCAAAAGTAAAGAAAGGAGCTGGTGGAAGAAAAGGCGGCGGCCCAAAGAAGAAGCCAGTTTCAAGGTCCGTCAAAGCTGGCCTCCAATTCCCCGTTGGAAGGATCGGCCGTTACTTGAAGAAAGGAAGGTATTCGCAGCGTGTCGGAACAGGAGCTCCGGTTTATCTTGCGGCCGTTCTCGAGTATTTAGCCGCTGAGGTAACTCAAAACTAGATCAAGCCGTCGCATGAGTTAAATATTATTGCTTTTATTTGTAATTCGAAAATCGGTTTTGAATTTTGGAATACAGGTTCTCGAATTGGCCGGAAACGCAGCCCGTGACAACAAGAAGAACAGGATCATCCCAAGACACGTTTTACTTGCCGTGAGGAACGACGAGGAACTGGGAAAGCTTCTGGCCGGCGTTACCATTGCTCACGGTGGCGTTCTACCGAACATTAACCCTGTTCTTCTCCCGAAGAAGTCTGAAAAGGCCGCATCAAAAGAACCAAAATCCCCATCAAAGGCGACCAAATCTCCCAAGAAAGCTTAAATTTATCAAACTGCTTCTAATGTCAGGACTTATCTCATTTGCTAGATCTATATGATTTTGTTGGTAATTGTTGATGGGTGGGGGAAAGGATTTTCATGGAAAATTTGAAATGCTTAGAACCAGGTATTTTATCCCACTCGGAATGAAACTACTGTTTATGTCGTTTACAAAACATTATTTTGTTCTTTTATTTCTTTTTCTTATAAAAATTAAATCTAAAATTTGTTGTTTGTTTGAACATGCTCGAAATGTGACCCTTCACTCCATTTATCTTATTTCGTGACTATCAATTTTGAGCTAATTTTATGGGTAAAGTAAGGTCCAAGGAATTAGGGATCTTTAAATAGAGAAAAATTAGTTAATGTGAAAGTTTTCTAGCGTGATAAAAAAAAACTTATTCAAACAATGAGTGATTAATTTATTATGATGTTAATGATCAAATTGCTAGTTTTAAAATACTAATGAAAAAACTTGATTCAAACACTAGTAAATATTTTTATAGTTTACTCATGAAACTACTTGTTTCAATTATTCTACAAAAGTGTTTTGTTCTATATTTTCTAGGATAAACTATATCAGTAACCATTCAATTGTAATTTTTTTTCATTTTGACCATTATTTTTAAATTTTTGTTAATCGGTTTATTTGATTATTTGAATATATTTAATTAGACTATTAGTTGTTAACATTTAACGAAAGTGTTGACGTGGTAGTTAGTGAAATTGGTATAATTTTAATAAATTAAAATAAAATTAATCTTCTAATGGGATGATGTCATTTCACCATTCAATTTGAAAAATAAATCTATTTATTTATTTTAATTTAGTATATTTACTTTCTACTAATCAGAGGGTGACAAATGTCACCCTACGGTGAAAAGAAATTTAAAGAACAAGGAAGGGGATGGGGAATTAAACCCAAGTCTCTTGGTGAGAAGAGAAACCAACCGCTGGCCAAGCTATTGGTTTGATTAAAAATAGACTACATGAGATTATATATCTTATATCTTAGACCACTTGGGTGAAATATATTTTAAATTTATGAATTCAATATATATATATATATATATATATATATATATATATTAAACATATCTTAACATTAAATATATTTTAAATTTAGAAATTTAAGATAAAAATAGATATATATTTTAAATTTATGAATTTAAATTCATCTATTTGAAATATATACAAATATATCTTAAATTCATAAATTTAAAATAAAAATAATTTTTTTATTTTCCAACGTTAGTTTGGGTTCGATTCCAAACAATTAATCTTGGCCTATGATATAATATATATAATTTATGTAGTGTATTTTGATCCAAACTAATAACTTGGCCTAACGGTTGGTCTCTCTTCTTCTCACCCAAGAGACTTGGGTTCAAATCTCCTATCACTCTTGTTCTTTAATTTTCTTTTCATTCGGTGACACGTATTATCCGCTGATTGATAAAAAATAAATATATTAGAATAAATAAATAAATTTTGATTATCAAATTGAATGGTGACAAATGACACCATCCCATTGGAAGATTAATTTTATTTTAATTTATTAAAATTAGGACCAAATTGATAGAATATATAAGTAAGAATTACTAAATATGTACTAATTTTATTAATTGTCACATTAGAACTTCCGTCAAGTTGCCTGGTTGAATGCATTTAAATAGTTGGGTGACCCGATTGACACAAAGTAAAAAATAGTGATCAAAATGAAAAGAAGCTATAGTTGGGTGGTCATTGGTATAGTTTACCCTATTTTCTATGCTTTTGTGTTTTTTGTATTATAAGATACTTGTTAAATATAAATTAATTCTAATCTTCTCCTTCAGCATATTCTGTAAGATCTAATTCATATAATGTTATATGAACGTACGATAGAGCTTTTCTATATTTATGTTGTTACTCCTTAGATGTTCAAGATGGTGTGCCTTATCAATCCTGAACAAAACAGTATATAAATCTATATATTTGAGAATCACCGTCGCATCTTCACTTCTTTGATATTGCAATTCAACAATGAAATTTCATACTTAATAGTCATCTTATCGTAATCAAACCAAGAAACCGAACACTTTGATATCAATTTATTATAGATAACAATAAATAAACATTAAAAAAAAAGAGAAAAAACAATCACATAAAACGTATAAAACTACAAAAACATAATAAGTAGAGAAAAAATAATTTCCCTCTAGTTGGAGATAAACTATAGGAAATTATAAGATGATTATATAATGATATATCAAACCTATAATTTTAGATACATATATATATAGTTATACTATATATCAGTACTAGTTAAATAAAATAATAATTCAAAAACCTTCATATTCATCACATATATTAATTTTCTCTTAATTTATATTTTCATTATTAAGTTAACAATCATATAATGTCTCAGGGCAACAAGGTGCAGTTAAAATCACACAACATATTATTCAAAAGTAAAAAAAAAAAGAACTATGGTTTATTCCTCTCATGTCTTGTCAGGCAAGTCAATATTGGTCTAGAAGATTAATTAGTTCTTGGTTTAATTAACTAGTAGCATATCCATGCAGCAAGACAAGGTGTTTGAACATTCCTTTTGTTGTTTAAATATATACCGTATTTTTATCCGCAGTAAAAAGTTAACTTTATTATAATAAAATTTCTGTTGAGTTACTTTGAAAAGGAGATATGTTTCAAAGGAAATAACCTTTAATAGAAAGAAAACAAAATTATTAACATCAGAAATCTATTAACAATTCATAAATCAAAACAAAACTCCTCAGGTGATTCCCTCAAAAACTTAAACCATGAAAACGATAAAAACATTATTGTAGCATCCATATCACCGAGACCCATAGGTCTCATTTGATTGGTACCTCAAATTTGGTTTTTCAATGGGTTTAATCTAGTTGATTAGTACAGACACCCTAAGAGTTGAGAGTTTTCATCTAACATGTCTAGGGGACATGGTCCGTATGTAAAGACTTACACGAAACAAAACGAGGCATGGATATATATAAGAGTTGATACATATGGATTGAACATTTTCTCCTTCAAAGTAGCTTAAAGTTGTAAGAAGTCGGAATCAAGAAACTTTGGATGTTTCTTGGACTCAGCTGAAACAATCAAAGATCATTTCATAAAAATAACTCTGCTTTTTATTGCCACATTTTTTCTGTGTTTGTGGTACGCTTTTCGTTTTCTTTCTTAGTCGCTTGGTAGTTCTTTTTATTTTATGTTTTTCATGATTGGATTTAATGACGTCACGACCGATCAAGATAATGTTTATTTGAAATCATGTTCATCTCCCGTGCTTTGGGCCCTTGAATTGAATTTAGATATGAGATTTTCCATTCATACATGGGCGGAGCTCCCTTAAGGCCCAAAGGGGCCCCGACCCCTGTAAAATTATTTTATGTTCGATAGATTTTGATCTAATAATATTTTAGTTAATGTAAAACTAAGTATTTAAATTAAAAAATATAAGAATTTATTAGATATATTTAATCAAGTATGGGCGACCTAAAGAATGATAATCCAATACCAACAACCGGTTGGTCTAGCGGGATGAGGCACTAAACCCATTAAGCAAAGTTAGAGGTTTGAATCTTAGCGATTACGAATGGAGCAATCTGGGTTGGGAGGTTCGCCCTCGCCTCTGCAATACCTGATCCGAATTAGTTGACCAATAGATTGAAAACCGGTGATTATACAAAAAAAAGGAATGACAATTCAATGTTCTCAATTTTTTGGTATAATAACAATTTAGGTTATTATAAATTTAATTATTAGACAAATTAGACACTGTTTTCTGAATTGTAAGTTTAAATACATAATAAGTCATTGTATTTTTCTTAAAAAGTTTAATATTTCGACCCCTGTCTATATCTAATCCTGGCTCCACTCCTGCATTTATGGATAGTTTCTCACGATGCTCGGTTCTGATTTGTGATTCTCTATAGTTTTTAATAGCTTAATCTCCTTTTGTAGTTTGTTTGTCGATGCAATCAAATTTATTCATATATATGTTTTGTTCGAGTTTTTTGATTGAGTTAACCTTTTCTATGTATGGTTCTTGTATGATTTAAAGTGATTAGTTTTTCTGTCAATAGTAAATGAAAATATCCAAACTATGTATTTAATTTACAATTATATTTTTAAATTCTTATTATAATTTTAAATATTTTATTTTTTAAATAAAATTAACTACTTTTTTTAAATGTGTCGTAACCGGTTTTTTCCCGGGTACGAAATTTTTACTTGATGGGAAAAATGACGTGAATAAATGGTTTTTAAAATGTTTTGGGAGTCGCCATCGGCCTTTTGGGTCAGGTAGGTCGAATACCTAAAAATTATATTTTAAAAGAGTTTTTAAGAAAACATCAGTTAAAAGATAAATTGGTCTGCGTTTTAACAAAAAAATCATTCTTTTTAATAATAAAAAGGGATTCGTGGTCGATTACGTTTGGGGAAGGATTAACACCCCACAACGCCCAAAATTGGTATTTATTAATTATAAATTGTCTCTATTATTGTAAATTTAAAAATTCAAAAATATATTTAATTCATAATCCTGTTATTTTAAATTTATTAATATAATTTTAAGAAAATCTATTAATTTATATATATATAAATAAGATATTTATTTATTTAGAAATATCAGAAAAGGACTTCTAGGTACTTTAAGACAACTCTTTAATTAATATTAAAAAATAAATAAATATTAATAAAACATTTATCTAAAAATAATTAAAATAAATTAGTATATATAATTTATAAAAATAGGATATTTATTTATTTAAGAATATCAGAAAAGAACTTCTAGGTGCTTTAAGACAGCCCATTTCTTAATATTAAAAAATATATAAATATATAAATATGATTATTTTTCTAAGAAAATAATTTAAATAAAACAATATGTATTTTCTGGTTTTTATAAGTAAAATATTTATTTATTTAAAAAACCAGAATATGACATCTAGTTGCTTTAAGACTGATCTTTTCTTTGGTATTAAAAAAATAAATAAACATTATTATCTTAGTCATATAAATATATATATTTGTTTAGATAATAA